TTTATGCAAGGCAACAATACGACGTACAGTGATGTATTCCATATATTCGCGCAGCAATACAAACAGCATGACCACATTTTATAGAACAAATTCAAACGTTACACATTTTGGAATCGTCGCATGACTTTAAACATCGCGATTTTCCAAAATTAGCAGATACTATCATTTTCAATAATTTTATTATAACTAATTTTAAAAGGGCTTCGTTTGTACAGCCGGGTTGTGACGATTAGTTTTACAAAACAAAATGATAAATTTACCCAATTATTGTAAGTTTCTTCTTTGATAGATGGTAACAACTTGACGAGAAACGCGGGATTGGCCACTTGCATACTTGGTCGATGCATACGCAGATAATACAGCTAGTCATACTTACTTGGCACAGCAACACTTGCGAAAGGTGATCGGGTATCTGGAAATCTCAGAGCGTCATTTTTAAACTGTAACTCCCTTCTTGTTGAAATTTGAACTTAGCCGTGTAGTTCCCATCTCGATGATCAGTGACCGGTAGCTTTTAAGATGACGCGCCATCACGCGAGAGCAACACTGCAGAGACGTCGATATTCGAAGGCAATTCCGCGATTTCGTTCTCGTTGTCAACTGCCGTCATAGTGATTTCGACAGTTTCGTTGACGCGAATTATTTTCGGTATTCCAGTACGTTTTGTTCTCGTCAAATCCACAACAGGTGTCTTACCAACCATATTATAGCCCTGCCTTAAGAGAGAAGCGTCTGGTTTAAATATGACAAACATTTCTGGAAGTCGGTGCTGTGTCGCAGTAACAGTTAGCTCATCAACTCGATCTGAAGTTTTCTTGTATTCTGCTGCTATCTCGCCATCAGCACCGTAGTTTACCAAGGCATCAATAAAACTACGAGTACTTCCGATATTCTTCTCAGACATTTCATATCTGTCAATTTCACATTCTAGAAACTTCTTTCGCTCGTCGTGCTCTTTCTTCAAGACGTTGAGAATCCTTTTCTTCGTCACTTCTTGCTTTCTTGATAAGGTCTTCGACGTGTTGCTTCACTTTAGTTACTTGTTGTTCGTACAGTTCTCGTATGGTAATCATTTCCTGTGTGGCTTGTGTGATGGATATGTTGGACTCGTTTTCTTTTGATCTTAATTTCTCGTTCCAGTTTTTCAGCTTAGTGGCAAACTCTTTGGCAGCGTCAGTTACGTCTCTGTGTCTGTGTTTTGGAACTCTGTGGTCAACTATCGTACAGGCAAGACAATTAGGAACATGACAAGTGTCACAATAGAACTGTATTTTGTTCATTTCGTGACCTTTGACACTACAGAACGATGATGTCCAGTCAGATGAAACTTCACGAGGTGTACTTTTCATGTATTGTCGAATAGATACTACATTGTGGCCCCTAGATAGCCTCAGAATTGAGTGACCTCTAATGCAATCACCACAGAAATTGACCAAACAGTCCAT